AAATTCCTCCTCATTTCATGTCTTCCTTTGGACCTCCATCTGTAAAGCTTCCATGGTTGGGCCTTGTCCTATCCTTGGGCACCATGGAGAAGAAATCCACACCATCTTCTCTGGGACATCCCTTCAAGGACCGGAAGACTGCTCTCGTGTCTCCTCTTAGCCTTCTCTTCTTTATGCTCAATATACCCAGTTCTTTTCACCGTTCTTCAGAGGACTGAGCCTCCAAGCCGCTCACCATCTTCACTGCTCTTCTCTGCCCTCTTTCCAGCTCCTTAGCATCCTTCTGATATTGGAGCAACCAGAACTTCCTTATTAGCAGATTGACCCATCCTAACCATTTCCTTTAGCTAAGAGAAGTGGCAGTAGAAAACCTCATTTTCTTAAAAGGAAGTTCTTCTAACCGTTTCCAACACACTCAGGATTTGCATCTGGATAAAAAACCCAAATGCGTCTTCCTCCATTCAAATATCATCTGAATATCATCACCTGTAACTTACAAAAACCAACCCAGCTGGAGAAATCACATCGCCTCTTTGAACATGTTGCAGAAATTGAGCAACAATGGTACGTCAAAACCTAGACAACGATTCCAAATACCATGTTTATGTTAGACTTCAAAGCCATCTCCATTTTATATGGCAGTTTCAAGCCCAGGCTGATCGGAATGTAAACCTTGCAGGGACAGCAAGTGTTTTAGCACTCCATAATAAATGTATTTTTCTTGAGCAGTTTGTAAAGACTTCCATCCTACAAGGATAACACATTTAGATGGAACGCAGGTGCTATAAGCTGCCTGTGCTTAAGTGTTCCTTCTGCAAAAGGTGGAAATTATTCATAGCTGAATTTGGAGAAATACAGGGTTTCTTAAAAAAGGAAGAGGACTTACCTGCAAATTATGACAAAGAACTTGATCAGCAAGAGCGCCTGTTTGAGGCCAGCCTCAACGACCTCTTGACGTGAAATTTGGGACACAGAAGAAGTCAGCTGTTGGGTTAACACTTGGAGGACATCCAGAGGCAGAAGTGGGATTTCCGAGACAGAGTCCTCCGGTCTAGGAGAGAAAGAGGAATACCCTGTTGGTTTGCAGCCTCCCTCTGTGGCATGACATATTTGCAAAGTTGCAAAGCAGAGAACTCTGTAAACAGCCCAGGGGAAATTACTTTTCCTGTACTGGCCTACTTCACAAGGTTGTTGTGAGGACAGAAGGCAAAACCCTTGATCTCCCTGGAAAGTGGACAGGATACACATATCACAGTCAAACAGAGAAACCTAATTCTGTGCTGCTGTAGGCAGAAGGAAGAGGTGGGTCTAATGGGGAGACAGGAGACCTCTGGGTGATCTCAGTTAGTTCTGCAGGGGTTTTCCACCTCCTGCAACAGCAAAAGCATAAAACCTTTTTTTTCGCTAAAGTTGGGTAGCTCAAAATAGAGAAAACACCCTAAAATTATAATGCAAGCCCTAAGGCTAGCTTAAAGTGAACGGTTCCCATTTTAATCTCTCACTAGGAGAGATTCGAACTGGGGGCTTGCAGAGCGATTTCTGCAACTGGGATAAGTTGCAGTCCACCCATCTTAAAGTTGCTAAGGTTGAGAAATACCGTATTATATTATATAAAACAGTATATTGGAAATATACTATTTTCAACTGCCACAGAATCATCGGATGCAAGGGGCTTTAAAACTAAAACAGAACCAGGGCTCAACCTTGTGATAGTGTTAGAGAGGCGATGGCGCACTGAACATAATGCGCCCTCGTGCACTTCCGAGGATTGCACAGCGAGCAGCTCTTCAGAAGAAGAATGCAAATCTTTACAACGTGTGGGACTACACCACACAAGCAACGCAGAAGGGCTTTGGAGCATCTATCTGTTGCAGTCCCAAAGGAGGAAATGGTGGAAATTATTCCCCCAATTGATAGCCCTGTGAAAACCCGAAGGATTCGGGTCAGTCGGAGCAAGGGGCATCTGTGGGGGAGACGGAGCTGTCCAAACAGGCAGGAGGGTACCTGTGATGGCATGATCAAAGCCCCCCCCCCTTTTTACACGCTTCTTGGAAAAGGGCCCATTTGCCCAAGAGACCGGGGGGTGGGGCGGTCTGGCTTGGCTTGCTAGCACCTGTGTAGTTGCAAGCAAGAACAATTATACTCCTTGTCTTGCTGTATTTTGCTCTGATAAAGAGGGTTGGGGGCATCTGTAGCTCGGAAACCCCCCTCCCCTGGACCCTAACATTTGACAACATCATGCATGAACCTTAGATCAGGGTTTCTCAACCTCAGCAACTTTAAGGTGTGTAGACTCCACCTCCCATGCTGGCTGGGGAATTCTGGGAGATGAAGTCCACACCTCTTAAAGCGTGCTGGCTGGGGAATTCTGGGAGTTGAAGTCCATCCATCTGAAAGTTGCCAGGGTTGAGGAACCCTGATCTATGGGTCTATTAATGCCTGGGGTCATCGCCTTAATTCGTCTCTGTTTAACTCGCCCGCCATTCAGAGTTGCCACGAGTTGGGCAGCCTAGAAATCTGATTTATTAAGGAATTTATCCATCGAGCTGCCTTTTCTCAGTTTGTTTTTCTGCTCTCGTTATGTCTATACAGTTTTCTTTTTATTGCTATATTGATGTTTTAAACCGCGTTCGCCCCTCCGGAGTCGCCCCAGCCCTATAAGCGGAATAAAGCAAAATAAAAACCGAACAAATAAGTAAATAAATAAATAAATACACGAAAAGGCAACAGGGTGAGAAGCACCCGCTCCGTTGGGCGTGCTTTGGGCACCCTCGCGCCCAGAAGGGAGGTGAGGAAGAGGGCACAGATGGGTCCTCGAGCCGTTACGCCATCAGCACTTCTATGTGGTAACCCAGCGGTGTGGAAATCAATCCCTCCCTTTGCTGATCACAAGCTGAGGAGGTGTTAAAAAGAGCAAAATGCAAGCGTTTTGGCGTTTGTTGGCTATACGGAAGGCCCCAAAGGCTATTCCGTTTTGCCTTCTTTTTGCACGTCAGCAAAGGCATACTGGCCCACAAGGCAGAGAATCTCACCATGGCCTCCTTTCCTCCCTCTTGGGTAGTGAAATTAAACAGCTAACCATTTGCGGTTCTTCCCGATTTGTTGTCGAAGGCACGGAAGGGGTGACGTTGTCAAATTTGTCTGCCTACAGACGCCCCCAAACCCTTTTTCATCCCTTCCGACAAAGCCAGTCAAGGCAGTCGTTGTGATTACTGGCAACTACACCACTGCTAGCAAGCCAAGCTAGAACCGGTCCATCTATTGGGCAAACGGGACGTTTTTCCAAGTCCTAAGACTTGGCCAGCTGCAACGCCCGTTTCTCCAGCCGCGCTGGCATCTGGGTCCTCCCTTTCTGCTGGAAGGGGAGGACAGGTAAATGTTCAAAACTCCTCCATTTCACCTCGATGTCAGCAGTCCTTGCAAAAGGAATTCCCGGTGATTGTCTGGGATTCAAAGGACCGTTCAACGCGGGTCTGATCCTGCCTGAGCTAAAAACTCGATAACGTGGGGAGCTTTCTCTTTTGGAGAGGACCTCTTGTAAGAGATCAGTCAGTGGGTGGGTTGGAAAGGAAAGGAAAGAAAGGGGACCTGGGAAAGCCTGAAGAGCAGGTGAAATAATTCAAGTGGCACGTGTGAACGGGTCAGCGTTTTTTCTTTAAACAAATTCCATCTTGCTCTTGAGGGTGCTACTTTTCTGTCTTCGCCAGGAGGACAGGAGGAGCCTCTAACACAATTCTGACGTTATTTCTTGGCAGGGACATGGCCTCTGTGTACCAGCAGTGGGGGGAAAAGAGCAAAATCCTTCAAGATTTATGAAGGCTTTGGAGGGCTGATTTCTCTTAGAGAAGGGGGAAGTCGGCCCATTTATAGGAGGGCGAAGCAAAGCGAGCGACACACACACACGGAGAGAAACAGACTGTCAGTAAGAGGTTGCCCCGATCAAAAGGCCCAGACGTTGCATTTTAGAAGGTGACCACATATTTTTAAGGGGAAAGTATAGTTGGAAAATATACAACTGAGTATTTTTTAAATTGCTTAAGAAAGCTTCTTAGCACAGGAGCTGGAAAAAAAAATTCAGACTGAACAAGAGAATTCATCGCTCAAATGGTGCACGGGCAAGGACTGGCAGCGTGGTTCCTCGGCTTTGATTGCCCCCCAAAACAATATCCACACCCACCCCAAATTAATTGTGTAGAAGCAGTACGGACTCCCTCCTGCTCAATTCCCAGTGACTACAGGTAGTCCTCACTTAACAACCATTCATTTAATGACTGTTCAAAGTTACAGTGGTGCTGAGCAAAGGGACTTAGAACCAGTCCTCACACTTACAACCATCACAGCATCCCCACGGTCTTGTGATCGTAATCTGGGCGCTTGGTAACCAGCTCACACTTATGACGGTTGCAGTGTCCCAGGGCCACGTGATCACCATTTGCAACCTTCCCAGCCGGCTTCCAGCAAGCAAAGTCAATGGAGAACTGCATGATTTGCTTAACGACCATGTGATTCACTCAATGACCGCTGCAAAAATGTTGTAAAATTCAGGCGTGACTCGCTTAACTGCCCCGCTTAACAACAAATTTTCCAGTCCCTATTGTGGTCGTTAAGCGAGGACTATCTGTATATGGACACATTCACGCAGTTTTCTTAGCAGCAATAAAGAAGTGATTTGTCATTACTAGGTAGAAGAATCCAGAGATGGCCATGAACGTAGGCATCCACTTAGCCCGGACAGACAGGACAGGGTGAGGAAGAAACTCAAGATTGCCTCACCTTGATTCTCTTTAGTATAAAAGCAGAGAGAAGGAATGTCTGATTCTGTTATTGTACCCTGTTGCAATAAAGTAGCGTTCCCATAGGTCTTGTGGTGTCTGTTTCCTGACCTGGCCTACCTCAAAGCGTTGACAGTCTTCTTCTGGGATGTTTTCTTGACCTCCCAATCTAGCCTGCAACTCTGGGATATCCTGGTGGCCTCCCATCCCTATACTAAACCAGTATGCCCTTGATTTGCTTTTTAAGATCAACTAAGCTGGGCAAGATGTTCCCCTCTGCAGAAAGATTTCAAAGGGAAATTTCAAATCTCATCCTATTTCACACTTACACGATTCTGGGCTATTTGGGGAGGGGGGGTGCGGATGGGTACCGAGGACCCAAACTGTTTGACCTCTGGGAGAGAGAGAAAGAGAAAACATATGCGCAGTGCCCACACGTGTGTCAGCAGGTGTGAGAACATTGCTAGAGTCCTGCCTGGTATCTGCTTTAGGCAGCGGGAACAAAAATACTTGTGCTCTCCTGCTTTGCTCCGTAACATGATGTTTTAATTATATTTTTTAACTAGATTTTTCTCTTCTCTCTGCTTCCTCCCCGAGACTACAACGGAGATCCCTCAGGCCCTTGGCGCGCAGAGGACCAGGGTTACCTTCTCGGTTCCAGGGAATGGACAGCGATGATCTTCTCAAAGTTGGTGACGAACGCCTCTAACCATTGCTGCAGGTAGGACAAGTCTTTCTAGAAAAGAAAAAGTAAAATAGGAGTTAGGAACAGAAAGGAGCCCCTTTTCTCCCAGGGAGTGAGGTATTTCCAAGCTCGGGACCTTGCCGGATCGCGGCTGACCCCGGTCAAGGTGATCGGACGAAGAGGAAAGGAGGGCCTTCCGGCTGATCTCCGGCCCCTTCATCCTCTCCTCTGCCTCAATGCACCATTCACGACTAATGAATCGGACTCAAAGGCATCCCTTTCAGGAGCTGCAGCGGCCTCCATCAAACGCACCGCCATGCACGCTGTGCTTCTCAATGCGCTTTCGGCATCCGATGCAATCAGCTGCAACTCGCGAAAGCTTCTGCCTTTTAATAAAATTGGTGAGTCGGGAAAAGCGCGGCCGGACGCCGCCCGACGGCATGAACTTCAGCTCACGAAAGGCGATGCCTTTTCATAATACACGTTAGTGGGAAAAGGTGCTAGCAGACGCCTCCTGGCTTTTTGCCCAGCACAGGTGAGCCACGGTTCTTTCATCACAACCCAGAACTGCACGTCTTGGGCACCGCAGTCCTGGATCCCGTTGTGAGTCAGGCCCAAACGTTTGGCCAGCCGCAGCTTTCTGCAGCCGAAATTCCTGGTTGTGACAAAAGGGGAAATGCACGTCAGGATACACAACAAACCCTAGTTCCGCAACGAGGTGCGAGTGGAGTCAACGAAAGCAAAGCAGCCCAACTTTTAAAAGGTTTGCATCTTCCACCGGCCTCTGGATGCAAAGAACGGGGGAATGCCGGGGGGCAGGGGGAGGCCCGGGGGTCCCCATAGCCGCCTTAACATACGTTGCCCCGTCTCCAAGTAGGTGGCTTGGGGGCAGGTGACCTCCAGGGTGCTCCCCTCGGCCACGGTGTGCTGAAAACAGGAGCGAAGCGGGTGGCTAATCTTGGCTGGCATGCGCCAGAGCAAAGGGCGGCCTGCACAGCATCGTACCAGGCGCACTCTCTGTTTACAGCTAAAATCCAAACACGAGATAAGGATGAAAACGCAGCCGGGGGACGGCTGCCTCCTTTACAGCCGGCCTCACTGACTTCTGTTTAGAAGAGGAGATAAGGGGAGGTTTGGACCATGGTAACCTTCTGCCCTTGGCTCGGCATGGGAGGAAATTTCTCCTGTCTGCAATCGCATTCCAGGCCCAGCTGGAAGGAAGGGGAGGGCAACCCCTCAATCGCCCAGGCCTGGCAGAGACGTTTCATCTGGTAAGGGCCGAAGCGAGGGGGGTCTGCAGCTTGAATCCCCGGGCCAAAAGGGCGCCCTCCCAAGGCAGCTGGGAGTTCTCGGTGCCGAGGGGAAAGAAAGAGGTCAGGGCGAGGGGCAGGCTAGCCAGCAACGAGCTGCTGATTGGGCTGGGGGCAGAATGGCCATTAGCAGCATTTGCAGAACTTCAGAAAGATTTGCTTATTTTTATACACTTCATCGTCGACAGAGCGGCCCACCCTGCAACTTCAGCAGTGAGACTAATAAGGTTCAGCGCGCAAAAGGCAGGACAAGAGAACGGCAGGCTGGAGAAGCCGGTGAATGAGATTCGCTTCTTCGGCTGACGGAGATTAAGTTCTTACAGCACTGAACCTTCCTGGGAATACCAAGTACTGTTGTGGTATTGACCAATGACTTCATCCAGATCCCACTTTTCCATCCGTGGTGCTCGAGACTCCAAAGCCTTCACAGGGGATCCCAATAATTCGTATAACAACCCTGCCAGGTAGGCCAGCCCTGTTTCCTTTTAGTGCAAGGTGAGGAACACCACGGAGATGACCCCGGAGATGATCCTGGCTTTAACCAAGCAAGCACGGGAAACAATTTGGGAATGCTCCCATCTCCCAAGACACAGGCTTGGTCTTTACACTGCATTGTTTGTGAGACTATTTGGTGAACAGAAGGGCAAGGAACCTCTGAAGCTTGGCAGGCGGACCTCTACCCACATGCAAAGGGTCCTGGTCTTCCATTCCTGGCCTAGCTAGGTTAGTAGGGGAAAACTCTTACAGGTAGTCCTCGTTTAACGACCATTCATTTAGCGACCACTCAAAGTTACTACCGGTCCTCGCATTTATGACTGTCCCAGTGCCCCCATGGTCACATGATCACAATTCGGGCACTTGGCAACCAGCTCGCACTTATAACAGCTGCAGCATCCTGGGGGTCACATGATCACCATTTGTGACTTTCCCAGCTGGCTTCTGGCAAGCAAAATCAATGGGGAACTGTGTGATTCACTTAATGATTGCTGCAAAGAAGGTTGTAAAATCTGGTCCGGTCATGTGATGATTTGCTTAATGATTGCTTCAGTTAATGATGAATTTTCCAGTCCCTATTGCGGTTGTTAAGCGAGAACTACCTGTACTACAATTTCACAAAATGAAATTGAATCCTGGGAGAATCGGGACATACAAACTGAAATATTGACCCAACATGTAATTCAATTCTGGAATTTGCTACTGTGAGATGCGGGGCTGGCTACCAGCTTGGATGGCTTCCAAAACGGGTTGGACCTGTTCATGGAAGTCCTGAAGATCAATGGCTCTTAGCTTTGATGGCAGTGGGACAGCCTCTGAAGGCCATCTGCTGGGAGACTCGTGGGCTTCCTTGGGCAGTGGGTGGGCCCCTGGAGAAGGGACTGGGGTGGATGGGCTAAGGGTCCGATCCCCCAGGGCACTGCTTAGGTTCCTGCGTAGTGAGTTTCAGCCAACTAATAGCTTTAAGAACAAAACTAGCTAAGGGAAGTCAGACATCTTGACTCAATGGATGGATCCAGAGACGGTCACCAGGACCTCTGAACTCAGCCACAGGGTTGTAACAGCTTAGCATCATGTGCAAATCATGTCCAAACCAGTTCAGTAGATTGAAGCTAAAACAAACAACGGCTTGGTGCCTCATCTGAATTGGGCCCGTCACAGAGCATGATTGGCAGATCGCTCCTTCTCTGACCAGCTTTTGCTCTTGGCAAAGAAATGTAGGCACATAAAATGAACCCCCCCCCCCCCAATTATTTCCAAAGCCTCTTGCTCCCAAAGTGTAAGAAGAAGGTGCGAGACAATGGGGGCGAAACATCTCCAAAATCAAGCTACCAGAAAGCAACCAAGACGACTTCTTCACAGAGCCCCAAAGGACAGGATCCCTTGGCTTTCCAGACCAACAGATTCCTGGCTTAGAGATCCAACAGAATTTCAGCAAGTGGGAGAGGCAAAGGATCAGGAGGAATCGCTGGAAGCGAAGAAGGAAGCCACGCACAGATGTTGTAGGAGGAGGGCGTGTTACTCTGTGGTAGCCAAAAATCAGGAGCACCATCAATCAACAGAGCAAATCATGAAATCATTAGCTTTCGTGAGCTGCCCCTTGGACACAGAGAGTGGCACGGGCGGAGGCCTTTTCATTACATTTCTGAGTCAGAAAAGGGGCTCCCGGACTCCTGATTCCATGCCCAGACAAGAGATCGGAGCATCAGGAATGTGGCCCAAGACCCAGGTTTAAACCTCCCCTCTGCCCGTTGAACGAGGGTCCCCCTCTTGTTTAATTTCAGAAAGCTGTCCCGAAGATGAAAGGAGCCCTAAACCCAGCTCATCCTCACACGGTCCTTGAGTTGGCACCCACTGGCTTCGCAAAGCATGCCCTTAAGCACCCCAAAACACACAACCGGACTGGGAAATGCCCTTTTGTGATGGAATGGAATTATGAAGGCCAGGCTCAGGGAGATAAGCATTTTCTTAGCTCCCCAGAAGAGCGTGAAAGGAACA